CCGGCAGAACGTACCCGTCTGAAGGTATTTCCGTTGGCCTCTGTCCGATACGGACATTGCAGGCCTCTGTTGGGATGTGCTTGAACTATTCAGAATACAAGCATTGAGAACCCATCTTCAAGAACTCCAGACTTCCAACCAGCGGGCGGAATATCAAGAAGTAAGTCCTACATACAGCCTAGCCATTGAATAACTGTGTTTATAGTATGAAGGGAGACCAGAAACAAACTCAAATTTGTCAGAACGCGTGGTATCCTCCAGGGATTAGTGCCAAGTGCCGTTGCCACAGTCGTTGCAAACAAGAAATTAGGATTGCCGGTGATATAGTTCCGTCGATCAGGGATATTTTGCTGCCAATGATCCAGGCGGCAGGGGGGTGGGTGGCCACAGGAATCTGACGGAAGTGTCTCGTTATTAAATGGTGAGGGTGTCGGAAATTAGCCCTGCAAGCTCAACAAGAAGGCCTCCTCCCACCGGCCTTTCATTACAGTTCCGATTGCTACTTCGCTGCCTTTTTCGGCTGCAGCTGAAGCGGAAAATGGCAGCTTTTTGGCAACTTCCCTCTACCAGCCTCACGCACTCTTCGTCAACGGACCATTCAATGCAATAATTTCCTACCTAAGGCTGCCATGCCATACACACTTTCAGCGCCCGGGATGGATTCGAGAACACAGCATGCTCTTCATCGTACAATTTCGACGACCTCGGCGCCGCAGCTGCTGGTCTCTGGCCAGTAGTGTGGCTTTGTCCGCTATCTGCCTGAAAATTCCTCCAACATCCCTTCAAGCGTTCCCTTACACTATACAGATCTCACCGATTCAGGGATAGAATACTGAACATTAAGAAACGCACGACTTCTAAGCCTGGCTGACGACACGTATGATGTCGAAGGGAAGGAAGACAATGTCGCCTGGGTGCATACCACAGACAGATCGGTGTGGACTAAGAAAATATAAGAATACAACAAGGGTCCATCCTTGTACCATAGCATCTTAAGAGACTGGATTGGGACAAATGGATAATACTATGTATACCACCATTTTTCTCCCCACCCAGTCGAACGCCATCAATCATGGCACAAGATAAAAGAATCGGATTCATCAAGTAACTTACACAGGCATGATGGAGGGTGTATAAGGTAAGGATGCGCTGTAAGGAGTAAGATGAACGTAATCTGAATAAATTGGATCTCTATACATGTAAAGCTCGTCATGCTCAGCAGAGACATGTCAATCTCGAGGCTCACTTTGAGTAGGAAATTATGCCAGCGGTGAGGTGGAAAGTAAATCCGTGCAAGGCTTTCTCTGACAGTCTTTATGAATGATCACTTGTTGATGTCAGAGCTGTTGTATATATTTCAAGTTTATGGTCTTACTCTTCCTTGACCTTCTTTAGCATGAAGAATTTAAATATAGCAGCTAATATAGAGGAAACTAGAAGAGTGCTTCCTATCATAACTATAGTAACTAGTGCTATAATAGACTAATTCCCTAATTATGTAGTATAGATGTTAATTAATATTATAGCTAATCTAGCAGCTGCATTCATTACAACTAGTCTAAGTTATAATAAGTATTTTTAGTATAATACATTAAGTGGAGTTAGTTTTCATACATAAATATCTAGCTAACTAGCTAGATATAGTTTTTTTACTATTCCTAGTATAGCTAGGTAAGTAATATAGCACCTATTATAAAGAGTATATAAGTAATAGCTAAAAGGGGGGGGGTTTAGATAGTATCTAGAATTACTTTTCTAGTATTATTATCTTCTAGTGCCTGTTTAATCCTATAGGATCTTTATAGTAATATAAATATCCTAGGAACTATAAGATATCTAGTAAGAAGGATCTAGTTTATAATACTAGTAATAATATTATAAATCTAGGGCATGTAGAGTTGCATAACCGAACTGCAAAAATTGAATCTAACCCTCACTAAACCTGCAGTGGGTTAGGCTTGGGGCCTAGCCTAGGGAATTACTTTAGGTTCAAGTTCCCTACCCCAGGCCTAATTCAGGTTTAGTGAAAACTGTCAGTTTTAATTTCTGTGGTTTTTACAGATTAGGTAAAACTACCTAATCTATTTTAGATAGAAATCACTAATTCCTAGGATTTCTATGGAAATTTTAATATCACTAGATAGCTACTAATTCAGGTTATCTAAATATATAAATATTAATCTATAATACCTAGTGGTTGCTGAGATATAAGGGAATAATTATCTCTATTATAGGTTAGTATGAAAGTGGTGCAGAGATATATATATAAGGATACTAAGGTCTAATAACTACTATATCTTTTAAATAATTTTTAACCACCACCCATTCAAACCTATAGATATTGAATCAATATTTTACATCTAGATTAGTATGATGATAATTACTATATATTTTATATAAAAATAATAATTTTATATAAGCATGCTTAATAGGGGGCCTTAGAGTGGGTCCCTGAAGGGGGCCCTAGGGGGAATGATAAGGGTAAAATAGTTAAAATTTATAGTTTAACTAACCTAAAACTAAACTAAATCTAACTATAGTTAGTTATGATTAGCCTAGCTAGGCCTAGCTAGGCCTAGTAGTGGGTTTTTACAGTAAATCTATAACTAAATCACACTAGGTTTAATTTGGTTGTGAGTTCTAGATTTTCAACCTGAAATTACAGTAGTTCAGTGCTAACTAAGGTTGAACTCACCTAAACTCACACTAAATACAACTCTAAACCTTATTAGATAGGAAGTAGGGAATGCTAGACCACTACTAGAGCTAACTATAGAAATTAAGAGAAAGATTACAGGACTAGAAAGACTATAGAAGCCTATAAATATTAAGTAATTTACTATACATTCTATATAAGAATATATTACCTTTTTTAACCACCTAGAGGTATACTTTAAGGAATATTTAGATTATTTTAAGAATAAAGAAAACTATATCTAAGCAGCCTTAGCCTAACTTATAGATATATACTATAATAAATAATAGACTTATAAGGCTAAGCTTATAGAAATACCTAAATAGTTAGACTTTTAAGACTTCTACTTATATCTAGTTTCCACCCTAGAATAACTTTATAAGGAAGTAGTAGTATAATATTTCTCTACTATCTAACTAGAATACTAGAGTATCTGGGAATTCTTTATATTTATTAATAGAATCTATAGCTAACTAGCTTAACTACTATTAGATTTTATCTATAAAGACTTCCTCTATACCTATATCTTACTAATCATCTAGAGTAAAGCTACTAGATTTACTAATCTACTAGAACTACTAGAGGTATATATCTCTTACCTAGCTACTACTAGAGTTGCATTTGGTGTGAGTTCAGGCAAGTTTAAAACCAGTTAGCACTGAACCACTGTGATTTCAAGTTTAAATTTTAGAACCCACAGCCAACCCAGATCTGATCTGGGTTAGTGGTGGTTTCACTACAAAAACCTGCTACTAGGCCTAGCTAGGCCTAGCTAGGCCCCTACTAACTAACCATGGTTAGATTTAGTTTAATTTTAAGTTGGTTAAACTGCTACCCCTTAGTGAATTTTAATAATTTTTAAATTTCAATGCCTCATTAAATGCCATATTATCTATCATAATATCACTATGCTAATTAAAAATTATTATTTTTATATGAAATATATCATAATTATTATCATACTAATCTATATCTAAAATTTTAATTCAATATCTATAGGGCTGAATGGGGGGTGGTTAAAAAATCATTTTTAAACTATAGTAGTTATTAACTATTAGTTATATATATATATATATCTACACCACTTTCATACTACCCTATGATAAAAATGATTATTCCTCTATATCTCAGCAACCACTAGGTATTTTAAATTAATATTTATATCACTAGATAGCCTGGATCAGGGGCTATCTAGTGATATCAAAATTATTAGTGAAATACTAGAAATTAGTGATTTCTATCTAAAATAGATTAGGCAGTTTCACCTAATCCACAAAAACTACAGAAATTAAAACTGATAGTTTTCACTGAACCTAAATTGGGCCTGGGGTAGGGAACTTAAACCTGAAGTAATTCCCTAGGCTAGGCCCTAAGCCTAACCCACTATGGGTTTGGTGAGGGTTGGATTCGATTTTTGCGGTTCAGTTATGCAACTCTAGCTACTACTAAGGATAGAATTCTATTATAATAAGATGCCCTATAGAAATAATATAATATTTAATATAATAACTAGTAGAATTCTAGACCCTATAGTGACTAGCTAGGCTGTATGAAGGACTACTAGCCTAGAGGTAATAGATATTCTAATAATAACTATAGATTAGAATCTAGGAAGTAGAAACATTCCTATTCCCCTTATTAGGATTATCCTAGATTATACTATAATAGATATAGAGAATATAGCTACTAGCTAAAGTACTATACTAAGCTATAGGTTCCTAAGTACTTAAAAAATTAAGCTAACCTATACTATATACTACTATAGTATTAGGTATTAGAAGAAATTCTAATAGTAGCTAGGCACTAGCTTACCTAATAAATATTCTTATTAAGGGAAGCTGCTACTAATATTAAATATTAATTAATTATAGAGCTAAATAAATATTTATTAACTAGTAGTAGGTAAAGGAATTCCTACCTAAACTGAAACCAAAGTGATTCCCTAGGCAAGGCACCGAACCCTCACCACTGCAAGTTCAGTAAGGGTCAGATTTGATTTTAGCAGTTCAGTTATGCAACTCTAGTTAGGCCGCACGGATTCCATGCTAAAATGATATTTCTAGGCACCGTTGTAAGGGATAGTAAGATGAGTGCAGTAGATCAAAAAAATGAAGCAATTATGAGGGGGAAACATGCAGGATGAAGCCCTGAACCCTAAAAAGCAGGACATACCAGACCGAAAAAGGCAAGCGGGGCAAGTGCGGGGAAAAGCGGCTGGAGCTCGGGTACTGAGCTCAACTAATTACCTACCGTCTTATATAGACTGGCTAGTTTCTATGTCCAACGTTGTCATCAGTGGTCAAAAATGAAAGTCATCATCACTGGCGCCACTGGCTTGGTTGGTAGTGCCGTGGTGCGTCAATGCATTGCCAATTCCGCCATCACAAGCGCCCTGATTCTGACGCGAAAACCTTTACCAAGGGACATCTCTGACAATCCCAAAATCACGGTTATTATTCACGAAGATTTCGGAAGCTACCCGCCAGAACTCTTGACCCAGCTCAGGGGTGCCGAGGGCTGCATATGGTGTGTTGACAATGACAGGCACTGACTATCTCCTATGAAATGCTAATAGGGGCGAACAGGACGATTGGAGGGCCAGCTTACCGTTTCCCTGATGTGGAAACCTGCAAAAAGGTGCATGACTTTGCGCTTGTTGCCGCGAATGCCTTTGCCAACACCTTAGCCCCGGCGCTGAATGGAAAGAAGTTCAAGTTTGTCTTTTGTAGTGGGCTGGGGGCGGAATGGGATCAGACGAAGCCGTTGTGGTTCCTGAAGGATACCAGACGGATCAAGGTCAGACATTCGTTTGCCACATTCGTTCCAGGGATTAGGCTGATAACTGTGCAGGGTTATGTTGAGAAGCAGCTGGCTGCCATTGCGGACAATGAAAGGGGCGTATTCGCGGTCTCATGCGTTCGACCAAGCGCTATCTTATCCTCCAGAGCAAATATATTGGTGAAGCTGTGCGCACCAATAGTCGTCGGCATTGAAGACGACCATCTCGCAAGGGTTATGGTCAAGGTCCTTCTTGACGAAAATTCTGAGCGAATCATCAAAAACGACGAGTTGCTGAGGATGTGAACGAGGCGCCGACTGCTGCTTTATCTACGCTAATGGTATTGAGATGCCCCAACCGGAGGTCCTTAATGTGTTTACCTCTCAATACGTCTCGCTAGGATTAACTAGGGCTGACCGTCTCATTGATGGTTGCACCAGTTCAGGACGTACTGTATGCGGTATGCTTTTCTCACCCAGTTTAGGTTGTGGTCTGGTTTTGATTTTAGTACTGGCTTATATCGCAAGCCATATCATCACTTATTATTGATTCCTCCTCTCGAGACATCATGGTGGATTAATAGACTGTAGCCCATTGTAAGCGTAGAGCATAGAGTTGGGCAACCTGTAAGGAGAGAAAGATTCATTATAGCAGAGATGACTCCAGCCTTGCCTCTGTAGCTCGACACGAGAGAAGAAGGACTCAACGAAATGATATTTAGAAGGGAAGCTGGAGTATAGAGAGCATCTAGTGAAATGACCGTCGTGTAAGACAGGATTGAAGGAATGAAATGTGTCAAATGCCTCATTTCCCCTATTCTACGGTGGGATTACTGCACTTCCTGAAGAGAACCCACTCAGAATCTGGAAACAAAAACTATATTAGGACTCATTTGGCATGGTTTGACAATGAAGTCGCTCATGTACGCTGTCAATTAGCATATCGCCTGCGTACGGAGCACTCATGATGTACATCCGGACTTTGCCTTCACAGCGGCTGCGCCATGCTCACCCGCCCGCGTATCTCTGATTTGACCTAATCTTTGCCCCCTTTTTTTGCCCTTTTCCTTCGGGTGCGACTTTAAATGAACATTGTGGGGTCAAAGTCACAAGAGCCAGCCACAATGGCCGGATTGTACTGTTGTCAGGCTACGGCTTTCGCTGGCGCTTCTTGCTCCAAATTTTCTTCTTATCTCGACATCATGCCCGATTTCCGACATCCACCAGATGACAAAAAATGTCTATACCGCTACAATTCCAGCGTTATTCAGCTGAATGTGGAACGCCTAGGGGAATGCTTAGAGCAGAACTCCAAGAGCAAAGCGCCCTGGGCTGTTCTAACCGACGAATCCATCGACAGTGGAGAAAATGCTCAACACCAGAACCTGGCACTTATCAAGAGTCAAATCACCTGTGCTTTACACCCTACGCTGTCCAGAAATGGAGGGCTCTCCTGGATCTTAAATCGATTACGGATGAAGTGAGTTCGTTAGCGATTGCGGAAGCTCGATTGAGGTGTCCCATCTGACCTGACTCTGAAATTTCCAGGTATATTAACGGCGTAGACATCGTATCCGCTAAAAGGCAATTCTGCACAAGTTCTGCTATAATCTACTGCGATCTTCCACACCTTTATCCAACTGCAAGCTGCAACGAGTCTTCTTCAGAACTTAATGCGTCATGGGTCTCATACGATGCTATTATTACCCTCTTACAAACACATTTTTGTTATTGTAAGAAGATCGTGCTTGTGCTTTGGACTAATCTAAATATAAACCTTTATAAACATGAAGCAGAGCAAGAACGCTATGCTATGATGGCTCAGCTTGAGAAAGTGCTTTGCCGAGCAGATGAGCTCTATCAAACCCTTGCTCACCAGGGATGTGAATTTTCGATTTTCCCATCTCCGGCAGCATTCGAATTGTATCTGGACCGAGCAAAGGAAACTGGTGGGACGTTTGAAGAGGGTAACTTTGATGAAAACCGCGGTGCTGAATCCCGTGTCTGGCGCAGCGTTGAACCGGGTACATTGAAGAATGAATTATCGAGCAGCACAAGCGCAGACGGCAATCCAGGCTATTGGATTCGAACAAGCTTCTTTGATCGGCTCAAAACGGAGGATATGCAATTTGTTTGACGCGAGAAGAAGGCTACTGAGAGTAGCGCTGAGCATGTACCCAAGCAGACAAGGGGCGAGCAACTGAAACCTTCATATTGACTTTCTAGAGATGACCCTAGGACTAATGGATTAATCACCTCTAATGCCATGTTTTCTTATTTACACTACAAAAAGCTAGAAATGTGGGATGGAAGTGATTAGGTGAGATCACTAATATCATATTCGCTCTAGAATATCACGCATGTCAGTCAAAGGTACTATTACTACTAGACTGGCTTACCCACCCTACCAAACCACACCCACCCCACCCAATCCACGCTATGGGTTGGATAAGGGTTAGCCCTAATCTAACCTATATGGATATAGGTGAATGATATCTAACCTATATAGATATAGATAACCTATTTAAATATATATAATTAGTAGAATTTAGTAGGTATATAGACTTAATAATTTATTTAAATCTATTTAATTAATTAATTTTCTATATCTATTAGTCTTTAAAGTAACCAGTAGTAAGAAACTAATTATTAATAACTATATTTTTTAGATATATTATTTTTAGGTTTCTAGAATCTAGTATTAAGAGATTTAATAGTATATAATAATTAAATAATTAGAAACTTAATTCAGAGGCTAGCTACCTATAATAGTCTAGATAGATATTATTATAAAGAGAATATATAGAAGCTAGAGACTATAGCTTAATAGACTTAGTAAGCTATATAAACTTTAGAGTCTTTATAGACTTTATAGGCTTTATAGGCTTCTTAGGCTTTATAGGTCTAGTAGGCTTAGTAGTCTTAGTAGATTAAGGCTTAAAGAGTTAAGATATAACTAGCTTAGAAAGTTAAGATATAACTAGCTTAGAGTATTAAGATATAACTAGCTTAGAGAGTTAAGATATAACTAGCTTAGAGAGTTAAGGTATAACTATCTTAGAGAGTTAAGATATAACTAGCTTAGAGAGTTAA